GAATTGATTCTTGGCAAAAGTTACATTTTCAAGACATCGACTTTAACTACAATTTCCCCCAAAGAAGTTAAAGTCAGTTAAATTTAGCTTTTCCTAGATTTCCGCCCCTCATCTATTCCTTGTGGAAGCCCGAAGTAAGCCCTGCACGAGGATACAGCATTTTCATTGATTTCAATTTGCCTGCGTTGCGACGCCATATTTCAATTTCTGACCGACGCACAAGTTACAAGCCATAGCATGTGTCTCCAGCTCTCCCTGTACCCCAGCCACCCATCTCTCTCTCTGTCTCTATCATGCGTCATATGGCCCTCTCTTTCATGTGCACGAACAAGCTGACGAGGATCGGGGGACGGGGCGAGTTGGTGGAGGACATTGGACAGACAGCTTAATTGATGAACAAAGGCGTTTGGGCCAAAAGTTGTACGTTTGTTTAAGAGATAGCCCAGCGATGCGTCTGGGTCCTGGACAGTCTTTTTGCCGAGCTTCGAAGTCGAGGACTTGCAGAAGTCGTACAAAATATTTAACACCCGCTGAGCGTATTTATGGGAGAATGAACCTGTGTGTCCTACTCCTCGTCATCATCAGCGTCGTCTTCTCTTTCCCCGTCCCAAGCTCCGAAGCTCCCCAGTCCCCAATACGCCGCCTCATCGTCATCGTCCATTTTGTCTTAGACGGGGGCCAATGTGTGTGAGAGATGGGAATGGTGGCTCCTCACAGGAGCGTTCTGGGGAGTTCTTCGTTCACATGGAATCCAAAATGCATGGGAGTGAATTTATTTGGACTTTTAACCTATAAAAATTATACTATTGGAATTGGAATTTCGAGAAGTTGGATATATAAAAACGCATTTTCCTTTGCAAACTTTTTAGTGGAATCAACAAAAAAATCGGAATACTTTTAAACTATCATAAGTAAAACTTGAACCTAAAAAATATTGTAGATTTAACCTACGATAATTGTTTCTGTGTTGTAGTTATAATTTCATTACTCATAAAATTAACTCTTTTTATTAAATATCTTAAAATCTGTAAATTATTTGATCTAAATCAGCGCTAATACAAACATTTGCATTACTAAATAAGCAAACTTTGGTTCGTTTATTTTACAAGTGTGCAGTAGAGGCCTGACAGATCAATTTGTAATAGAAAACAGAACAGTTTCTTGAATACAAATAAGTTAAAATCGCATATTAAAAATGTTTTGAAACATTGTCTAAACCAAAGCATACATATGTAACCCCAAAACCGCTCCTGTATTCCAACATCCTTGTCGCAGCTCCTCGATATGTATATCCCTCCCCCTTTAGCCGCATGTGTATCTATCTCTCTCGTTTCCACTAGTGTAAGATTTGCAATTCCAATTGGCGCGACGTCTGCGTCTATGTTCAGGTCTGCTCCTGCTCTTGCTCCAGCTCCTGCCCCTTCTCCTGCTCCTACTCCTGCTCCTGGGTCTGATGATTAGTTGTCGTCTGTAGGTCTTCGTTCTTCACTGCCTCCTTGTCTCCCTTCTTTCTCTGCGGCCATCTAGCCCTCTCTGTCTAGTCTGCAGTGGTGGCTTTCTATGGCCACGTTTAACCTTCTTTTTATTGCACACACGATGCAATTATTTGTTTTATTAACTGTTGAACATGTTTTCTCCGCGCACATTGCACCATGTTTTCCCACTGATATATAAGTCGCTTCCAAATTGTAAATTGCAAATTTTATTAATTTCTGTCCATGGGAAACTTGTTCCCCAACGATCAGACTCTGTGTGGGTTCGCATCGATTTGGCTTGCTTTGGGCTTGGCTTTAATTCCGTCTTCCGTCCAGTTTAACAATTTCCAGCATTTAGTTCTCTGGTATCTCGGCAATTAACCTTTTAAGGTTCTTGTGTTTTGGGAGGAAATAAATGGTAATTGTTGAGGGGTACATGCAGGTTGGAAGCATCTACCGGTATTCTATATAATTGTGTATTACAAATCCATCATGCATTTAGATATTTTATTAAATCTATGGTCAACTATTCAACTATTTTATTCATTTAAAAACTAAAGAAACCCAGTTAGAAGTCTGAAAATGAACTCAAATTCCCACTCAAATATGTACATGTATGTTATATAATATTCGAAGCCAGAGGAAGTTGCTATTTTTCATTAGTTAAGCCTGAAACAGGTTGATTTGCATAGAAAGCTAAAACAAAAAACTAATTTTCTCACCCCAGTTAGTCAAAGCCATAAGAGCGAGTGAAGGGCGGAAAAACAGGGGAAGTGGGCAAGTCAACTACATTAACATGAACTCGGGTCGAAGATTAATCAGTTAAGCAAACATAATAAAAGGCTAAGCGCTATTTTGCGACATTTTGATAAATATCGAATCAAAATAATGCGTCAAAATAATTAATCACGATTAACCAGAGGCCAGGGGAGTGGACGGGGGGATTAGCCAGCGTTAATGATCGATAAATGAGAACAAGTGTTCGCCATCACACGCCATTCTCGAATTAGTGGCCACCCAATCTAAGGACTGACCCCTCTGGCCCCTTACGACTCACCCCCATCATCATGACTCCGCGCCAGAAAATGTCACATAATCGGAAAAATCAAATGCAAATGTAATAAATCCGTGTGAAAAGAGGGCGGCTCCAGGGCCACCCCCCGATTTGTATTTATTTACTTGCTACTTTCGACGCATAATTTAACTTCCTGCCAAGCGGAATCCACCCAAAGTCAATTTATATTCAAAGCCTTCCCTTCTGTTTCCTTGTGTGGGAACTTAGTCATGTGGTCTGGGCATCAGTCGTGATATGCCAGTGGGATATATGGTAAGTTCGAACCCTTTGCACTCTCGTTTAACTATTTTACCCAACTTTGAGGAATTTTCTTTTATTTTAAGTTCATTCATTCCTGTAGTTCTTCGATGAAAAGATTTCACTTGTTGAATATGAAACCCAATTCATTGAAATAGCTTAAGATTTTATTTAATTTAAATATAAATTTATCCAGTCGAACATAATTTTGTCTGATTAATATTAAATACTTTTTATAGAGTATAACCTTCTGAATAAATTTAAAGGAATGCAAATTTTTGGAAACATTACACCATTATGCAACGGTGTGTTATTAAATCGATAATAAAATTAACTAATTCAAAATGCTCATACATATGTTGTCCTCAAACTGCCCATGTAATGTATTTTATATTACTTTATTATTTTAAAAATGAATATATGACATATTACTGAATAGAATTTAATATCATTTAATGAATACTACGTCCTTTTTTTTATTTTAATTTAAAGTCAACCCTTACCGTTTCCCTCACTCTTTTCGCGGTCTTGTTTGTTTATGTTAAATTTAATCAAAATCGGTGTTAAGCGGCGATCGTTCAAACACGGCCCCAAGGGTGACATTAGATGGCGTTTAGCACGTGCAACAAGCCGCAAGCAAGGCCATTGAGTGGGTGGGGGCAGGGGTGGTTGGCTTGCCAGCCGCCTTGGCCGCAACCCTTAATTGCGCGTGTAATCATTTGGCCGAAACGGGGGTTGGCTGCCAACGAGCTAGGGAAAAGCGAGACTCGGGAAAAGTGCGAGTCTAATGCCTTGTAAATGCAACTAAACAGCTTGTGCGGTGCTTTCGGGTAAAAGAGTGTCGGGGGATTTGACTTTGGGCGATGTAAGTGGCGTTGATGATGTGATTCCGATTTGATTTGATTAGATTGCATTCCATTAGCAGAAGATTGATGAAGCATATGTTGTAGGTTCGCTAAATTCAGTTGCAGTGATAACCTTCTTCCTTGTAGGAAGAAAAAAGGCAAGCAGAAAAGTAAATGCAAGTAAATTCAACAAATTAAATTAAGTTGTCTTTCTTAATCATAAAATATTATTGTATTAATGGATAGAAACATATAGAGACCATTTTCAGCGTCCCATTTTTAAGCATGAAAATATATCCATCCATATTTCATTCTCCTTATATTTCAGTTTTTGTTTAGATTTTCCGTCCTAAGCCTACGACCTATTAAAACTAGAGAATGCTTAAACTTAATGTGGGTCCACGACTATAAAAATTGAAAGTCTGAAAAAGTTTAAGGCAATGAAATGAATAGCTCTTTTACTTTTTTAGTTAATGTAAGTTAAAGCTAATTTAAATTTACTACAAATAGGTTTCAGCGATAGACTTTGGCTGAACATATTCTTTTTAAAAGAAACAACTTTCAATTTCGTACTTATTATAGTTTTTAGCTGAGGTATTTTCTTAAAAAGATTAAATGAATTAATTAAATAAATAATATTATCTTACCGTTATACAAAGGCTAATAAACTTATACCAATAACAAGTTCTGAAGTCCTGGTTCATGTCTGCGCTGTAAAACTGCTTCATGTGAATTATTGCAAGCAGTGCAACGATTAAGAAAAATGTGGAAAAATACTTGGTTCATTCTCTGGTATAATTAAAAGTTTGAGCCTTTTATTTGGTCGTCTATGTCAGTATCCACACTGGCCTTTTATTTTTTAACCAATATTTTCGGGGACTTTGTATTTCTTTTATAATGCCCCTTAAATCGTACACAACTTTTTACAAGAAGCTCGAGTTGATGCGAATAGCTGATTAGATTTTTTCAATTAACATGAATTTAATAAGCTTTATAATTTAGATTGATGGTGTATACATGTATATATAGCAATTAATTTGATTTTATTTATTTTGAGCGCACACTGTATATAAAACACATGTCAAAAGTACTTCGCAGTTGGTAATGCCAGTTGGTGAAAACTAATTGGTCCCTTTCTAGAAAATGAATTTCTTATATAAAAACAATACAAATTTAAAAATGATTGATAACGAAAACAAATTATTATTTAATGGTATATTTACGGTATATTTTCAAGGAAAAAATAGTATAAACGGTGTAATATATCGATAATATCGCGGTCACACTGGTTTAGAGCCCGGATACTTAATAAATAATTCCCCGGTCACACAGTTTTTTTTTTGCACAGGAATTCCGACAAATCTCAAAAAATAAATGCCATAATGCAACGGGTATTATTGACATGTCGCCTTATGCACAGATAAGCCTTTAATTGATCTTAATTTATAAATTTCAGGGCATCGAATCGTACTTCAAGCCGCAGGGTATTAAACCGAAGAAGGCGGACAACGGAGTCGCCGAGACGCCAACAAAGGCGCCAAAACGCCGCAAGCCTCTGGTAATATCAAGCGACGAGGACGAGGTGGCCGCCAGTCCCCAGGAATCCAAGAAACGCAAGACCTCCAAGGTGATATCAAGCGATGAAGAAAATAAAAAGGTCAAAAATGGCAAAAAACCGACCTTGTCAAAGCTGAAGAAGCACGTGGATCCTTCGGAACTATTTGGTGGAGAAACCAAGCGGGTGGTGATACCAAAGCCAAAGACCAAGGCGGTTCTGGAGTTTGAAAATGAGGAGATCGACAAGAGTCTCATGGAAGTGGACCTGGAAGAGAGTTTAAGGGCCACGGAGGAAGTGGAGACAGATTCCAAAACGGAAAAGAAATCTACATCCGAGGAAAAACCTAAAATAAATAGTCCGGAATCTGCCAAACCGAAGGCTGCTAAGCCAAAAGCCGCCACTCCGCGGGCTAAAAAAGCGAAGCCTCCGGTGGATCTGGAGACCAGTGTTTTATCGGACGAAGAACGCCACGAACGGAAACGCATGTCTGCTGTACTGTACCAGAAATACAAGAATCGCAGCAGTTGCCTGAATCCAGGCAGTAAGGAAATCCCAAAAGGATCGGCCAACTGCCTTAGTGGTCTGACCTTCGTCGTCACCGGAGTCCTCGAGTCCATGGAGCGCGAGGAGGCCGAGGCCGTGATCAAGGAGTACGGTGGCAAAGTGATGACAGTGGTGGGCAAGAAGCTTAAGTATCTGGTAGTAGGGGAAGAAGCAGGACCCAAGAAATTGGCCGTTGCTGAAGAGCTCAACATACCCATTCTCAGCGAAGATGGTTTATTTGACCTAATCAGGGAAAAGTCAGGCCTATCCAAGCCGGTTAAGGAGGAAAAATTGAGCCCCAACGAGCGCCAGCAGAGCTCAAGCAAAGAAAAGGTGAAAACCGAAGAGAAATCTGTCGCCACCAAGTCAAAGGTTAAAGAAGAGAAACAGGAAACTAAACCCAAAATAAAGGAAGAAAAGACTGCTACCAAGCATAAAATCAAGGAGGAACACATTACTTCCCCCGTGGCCAAGAAGACAAAACACGATGGGGAACCAGCCCCAGCCGTCACACACAAGGTAAAGAAAGAGCCAAGTTCTCAGCCTCCGGTTATAAAAGCCCCCGAACCCAAGAAGCTGGATGAGGCTAGTGTGGCATGGGTGGACAAACACAAGCCCACGAACATAAAGGAGATTGTGGGACAGGCAGGAGCCGCCAGCAATGTGACAAAGTAAGTGATAATTAAGATAAAAATACACGTAGTTTTCTTACCTGAACTCGTTTTAGACTAATGAATTGGTTGACTAAGTGGTATGTTAACCACGACGGCAAGAACAAGCCTCAACGACCTAATCCGTGGGCGAAGAATGATGATGGCAGCTTCTACAAGGCGGCCCTGCTGTCAGGACCGCCAGGAATCGGAAAGACCACGACTGCCACTTTGGTGGCCAAGGAGTTGGGATTCGATGCCGTGGAGTTTAATGCCTCAGATACGCGCAGCAAACGCCTGCTCAAGGATGAAGTATCTACCCTTTTGAGCAATAAATCTCTTTCGGGATACTTTAGCGGCCAGGGACAGGCAGTGTCCAGAAAGCATGTGCTTATCATGGACGAGGTGGATGGGATGGCCGGTAACGAGGATCGCGGTGGCATGCAGGAGCTTATCGCATTGATTAAGGACAGCTCAATTCCTATAATATGCATGTGTAATGATCGCACTCATCCAAAGATCCGATCGTTGGTCAATTACTGCTATGACCTGCGATTCCAGAGACCGCGTCTCGAACAGATCAAAGGTAAAATCATGAGCATCTGCTTCAAGGAGAAGGTGAAAATAACGCCTGCCAAGGTGGAGGAGATAATATCTGCCACCAACAACGATATCCGCCAGTCTATCAATCACATTGCTCTGCTCAGTGCAAAGGAGGATACATCCGGCCAAACGGGCCAGTATGTGGCCAGCAAGGATCTCAAGCTGGGTCCTTGGGAGGTGGTGCGAAAAGTATTCACAGCCGAGGAGCACAAGCGCATGAGCTTTGCCGACAAATCCGACCTTTTCTTCCACGACTACAGCCTGGCCCCGCTGTTTGTGCAGCAAAACTACCTTCAGGTGACACCGCAGGGCAACGCGTAAGTTGAATCAAAGAAATATCACAACATATTTATTTGAACCATTCTTTCCTTTTATCACAGGAAGGATGTGCTGGCTAAAGTGGCGGCTACGGCAGATGCGCTTAGTCTCGGCGATCTTATCGATAAGCGTATACGTGCGAATTCTGCTTGGAGTCTTTTGCCCACTCAGGCCTTTTTTAGTTCAGTGCTGCCTGGTGAGCACATGAGCGGCCACTTCACTGGCCAAATCAACTTCCCTGGCTGGCTAGGAAAGAATTCCAAATCGGGAAAACGAGCCAGACTCGCTCAGGAAATCCATGATCATACTAGGGTGTGCACCTCAGGCTCTAGGTTATCTGTGCGGCTGGATTACGCACCATTCTTGCTAAATAATATTTGCCGGCCTCTAGCAAAGGAGGGGCAAGAAGGTGTGCCGGCTGCGATTGAAGTCATGAAGGATTACCATCTACTACGCGAGGATCTTGATTCGCTGGTCGAGTTGACTTCGTGGCCGGGCAAGAAATCGCCCCTGGATGCCGTTGATGGTAGAGTAAAGGCCGCAATGACGCGAACCTACAACAAGGAAGTAATGGCCTACTCCTATTCCGCTCAAGCTGGAATTAAGAAGAAAAAAGGAGAGGCTGCTGGTGGCGGCGATGAGGACTACTTGGGTGCAGATGACGGAGACGAAGAGGGCAGCGGAACTAGAGCCGATTCGGAGGACGATGAGGATAAGGATAACTTGGAACTAGATGGTCTTATAAAGACTAAGAAGAAATCCACAGCAGCCAGCACGTCGAAAGCAGCTGGTAGTTCCAAAAAGGCAACATCATCCACAACTTCGAAGTCCAAGGCAAAGGCTAAAAAATAAAGCCAATAAAAACCAAACTTTCTTCAAATTATTTCATGAATCATTGCTCCCAGCCAGAAATCTCTCCAAAGATGCAAAACTTCATGTTGAACATTTAAATCTATGTTGTTAAACATTTCTATAAATACACAAATAAAATAAGTGCTTGCCGTTTACAAGAATTACAACGTATTCCAATCATTCCCAAAATTATATAAAAAGAGCACTATAAGACTATATTGGTGTTTAAATAAAAAGTAATAAATCACCTGGCCATTTAATTTACTTATCAAGTTTCTTTAACAGTTACACATTTTTATACCCTTGCAGGGAATTATAATTTCAGTCAGAAGTTTGCAACGCAGTGAAGGAGGCACCTCCGACCATATATTCTTGATCAGGATCAACAGCCGAGTCGATCTAGCCATGTCCGTCTGTCCGTCTGTCAGTTTCTACGCAAACTAGTCTCTATAACTATAGGTGCCATACAAACGATCGTTTGATGTAGAGGAAAAATGCAAATCTGTGAACTGCAAATATAATATGTATAGGTGAATGAAATGAAAGCAGGTATTACTTCATTGTTTTTAATCATAAATATATATAATTTATATTGTAGGGATTCCTAGTCATATAAGTTCTATCTGCAAGGGTAAATAAACTTCGGGGTGCCGAAGTTAATTTCCTTTCTTGTTAAATTTAACTTTAGCATTTAATGTTGACAACAAGATCATACGAGAAATACCTTAATTTAAAACCTATAAAGTCAAAGGTTATTAAAACTTTTAAAATCTCATTCGAGATATAAACATTTCAGTTTACCTTCAACAATATGAAAGAAATTATGATGTTTAAAAATATGTGTGATACTTTACAAAGTTTATAGAAATGCAAGCAAGCCATGCTTATTTTGATTAGTTAGGGGTCTTTTAAACTTTGATTTGTCAGTGGATATTTCTCAGTCCAAGTCATTACCTTACTACATCTGGATCTACCAGGAAAATTTTTCCTTACATTCCGGCGAAAACGTGTGACTTCATGTTCAATATCCTGATCCTAGGAGACGCCGATGTGGGCAAGACCTTCCTCTTTGGGCGTTTCTTGGAGGACCGCTTCTTTCTCAATTATAACGCAATCGGCAGAGGTGGCTCGAAAGGTCTTGCTCCTACAAGTGTGGAATTTAGCCGGCGGGGACCATATCCATGCTTCCAATTTATTATCCCAATGCTAACGGTGTTATCTTTGCTTCCGATACCATATCGCCCAATAGCTTCCGCAACGTGAGCCACTGGCTGAAGGAACACGGCGTCATGTGCCCCAAGGAGTGTTGCCCCACAGCGAAAACTGTTGAGCGATGTGGTATCGAAAACAATGATAACACCGTTGGCATCGGGATAATAGTAACTCGTATGCATTGCATAATTCCTTGCCGGAGGAATCCTTTGTAGAAGCACCATCTTTGGAGCCACCTCTGCCTGGCACACATTGTAATTGAGGTTGAAGCTGTCCTCCAAGAAGCGACCTAAGAGGGAGGTCTTGTCCACACCGACGTCCTCTACGATCAGGATCTTGAGCATGTAGTCATACATTTTCGTCAAAATATAAGGGATATTTTTGCAGCACGATCTTATTGTAGGAGGTACTGCTCCGCCCCCACTGAAAAACAAGTAAATATACTGGTGACAGTACACATACAGCGATTATATAGTCTTAACTTATAAGGTAAGATATAAATGAAAATAAATAATTTTTTATTTCACTACCACTAATTCTTAAACCCGTTTCTTCTATCTGCCTCCAGCACCAGAATAGAAGTAATCAACGGGAGGTAGGAGTCATCTCCATAATCTGATCTCCGTTTAAGGACACAATGCCAGTGCTGTTTAGGGAAAGAAGACTTATCGATCGGGAAAATGGGTACTCTAAAGAGAACATTCAAAGAGGCAATGGTGGAGCAAGCTTTGGGATGTGGCGAAAGTTCCATTACGGGCTGCCGCCACACCAAAGGCATTGTCCTTAAAATGCGATGCAGGACCTCCAGGCTGCCAGGCAGGCTCCGCACTGCGATCGGCCGTATAGCAGGAGTGATTCGCGTGTTGTCATCTTTGAGGGAGATTTTCGCAATCACTGGATAGTAGTTGCCACATTCAATTGAATTTCCTGACCATGGAGGATATTTCGCTCGAGTACGCACAATGTCTGACTAGTAATTAAAGTTGAAAATGTAAATATGTCTAGTATAATTTCGGGGATGACTTATCATTCAACATGCGGACTTATAATTCCCAACGGTTTCAAGCGGCTCGTTCATGGAAACCCCTAGGCCGAGCCGAGAAAAGCATACTTACCTGGCGTAGAGGTTAACCGTGATCACGAAGGCGGTTCCTCCGGAGTGAGGCTTGGCCATTGCACCTCGGCTGAGTTGACCTCTGCGATTATTCCTAATGTGAATAACTCGTGCGTGTAATTTTTGGTAGCCGGGAATGGCGTTCGCGCCGTCCCGACATAAAGAATATATTTAAATCCAAAATTGTTATTTTATTACAAGTGCTGGTTAAATTGGAGATTATTTTGGCGGGCGTTCTAAATTTTTTTTGTATTTTTTTTTATATTGTGTTTATTTTTTTGTTTTTTATATCCACACTATTATTCGTTGCTACACTTCAGTAATATACAACTATAAATTTAATTCAAATTCAATAAAAAAAAATGTTGCTATTTATTAACATCTTAAAAATTGTATACATGTATCCGCTGTCGAAAGTAAGCTGGACCAGGTAAAATTACCCAAGGACCCATGTAACTCTTAATTAGTCAATATTTTGCAAGGGGGCAGTCGAAATATTACATTTTCTTTTACTTTTGACAGTCCCAGCCTTAAATTCATCCGAATAGTTATATAAATTTTTGTTTTTTTTTTTCTAGTTTTTGTCTTATTGGTGTTCCATACTGTCTCGCTAAAAGGACAATTGAAAATATGTAGGCATATTACAATGTTTGTTTATTTAAAGTACATAACCTCTTATCTAGGAATCAAAATTTATTGATTTATCCTCTAGAACCAATACTTTCGAATTTCGGTTGTTAAACGGAAAAAAAATCGAATAAGAAACTTATTTGGAATCAGCTGTTTTTACCTGCCGATTTTTTCAGTTGTACAGGCCAAAGTTTCACACCTTCCCATCGAAGACATACACCTCTACAATTCTTACAATTTAATCGACCTTTGCTATCGAAGCGCGGCCACACCAACGAAAAAATATTTGGTCACACTAAGTTCCGAAATTTTCCCACGCACGGTTGGTCCACGCTCGGGTCGGGGCGGAAAATGCATTGAAAATTGCAGCGGAAAACAGTGGACAGCATGTGCGGGCAGTACACACCGATCAATTGACAGCAACCATCAAGTACAGTGCGCGATCTGTTTGTATTTAAGTGTTTTTTCGCCCAGCTCAAGTTGTGAATTTTTCGCACAGAGAATTTCTCAGCTTACGCGCTCATGTGTGTGTGAGTGTGTATCTGTGTAAAGGGCGCAGCTTGGCAGAAAACAACACCCATAAAGTGAGAAATTCCAGCCTGCCATCGCGCTTTTAATTAAATTGAAATTAATTGTAGTTCAAAGCGTCAAGCTCGTCGAATTTTCTTTGTTTTTTTCGCGCAACTCGCTGCGTTGAAAATTCAATAAGCACGTAAATTCCATCACACACACACTCACAGCTTCACCCGCGCACACACACTACTGCGAATACAGCTAAGCTGGGAAAGAGCGAGAAAGCGAGAGAGGAACGAGGAACGAGAAGAAACAAGGCAAGTGTAGACTTTGACAACAACAAAACGGGTGGCCCTTGCTACCCCCTCCCCAAGCGCGTTTGAAACACTCTCCACTGCTGGTGTATTGTGCCAGGCACAAGGACACACAGCCTCCCAGCTCACGCATACATGCGCGGTTCGGGGAGTCAGGGTTTTCGGGTTCTTACCTTTTTTTCTCTCTCTTTTCGTAAACACTTGTCGCCTGCGCTTCGAAAGGTGCCGCGCCTTGCTTGAACCGTTATTTTCGCTGGGTGTTTTTGCATTTCATGTTTTATGTTTTTGGCAACACATGTTTACCTTTTCAACGTGCGGAGAGAGTGGGCGTAAAAAAGCTTTTAAAATAAGGATAAATACAGAGGACAGGGACATTGAGAGTGAGCTGCTTGTGAGACTGTTGTGAAAAAGTGAGACAACCACGGGGTAATATATGGTAATAGGCTTTAATTACATTTATAATTTATTTTGGTAACAAGTCCTTGGCATATGAAAAATGTGTATTCAAGTGTATTTGAATATTGTAAAGTTTTCATTCAAGTTTTTTTTTTAATTTAAAAATGTAATGTAAATGTAACATTTAATATTTTTCTTAATATATCTTAACTATAAAATTGTAACTAATATCACACGTTTTATAAATTAATTCTTGATATTTAATTTTAAAAACGGTTGGAATCTCTCATAAAAGCGCAATGTATTAGACTATTTGTAAATGAAAATTATTCGCAGAAATAAATTACTGTCATTTAAAAAGTATAGGAATTTTAATAGACCCTCAATTCATTATTTTGCTTTCTACGCACCTTTACACATTTGATTATTTTTCTTTACTTATGTTCTAAATAATTCACTTGAATTTAGTGTTCTTCCTTATTTTTGTTGTTATTTCTCTTGTATCCTTTTGGTTTTTTTTTTTTTGCATTCCGGTCCACATTTTACTCTTTCTCTTCCGCGTCTTCTTATCGCCTTTCACATTTCCTTGCGCAAAATGTTCAGAATTCAGGTCATTGCATTTGTTTGAGTTTCCATCACCCATCACCTCTAGAACCAACCACCCACCATAATTCTCTCTCTTTTCTTCTCTATTTCTGCGTGTGATTGTTGACTTTTCAATGGATTTTCGATTTCGTTTTACTGAAAGGAAATGAATTCAAACAAGAGGCTTTTCTTCAAATTCACCTTATCGGATTCTTAACTTTTATCGCGCGATGAGGTCAGCGCATTTTCGTATTTCATATTTCGCATTTCGTATCTGTATTTGCATTATGACGAGGCTTGTCAACACAGACTGTATCTGCGAAAGAAGTGAACATGAAAACGGAAACTTATCGATAAGTGCCCAGAGATGGATGATAAGGCTTGCCCGCACATGGGATAC